CAATAAAATAGAGGCATAAAAAGAAAGAACGACGATCAACCAGAAGGCACAATTTGTTGATTTTCTAATTACATTCAACCAAAACCCGTGGCAAAATTGACTTTTTACTTTGGCCAACTGTGTGCGGCACCTTTAGATTAGCATCTTTTATAAGATTCGTGAAATAATTACAAGTATTGGCAAAATTTCGCAAATCTCTCGAATGACAAAGTGTGACGTGATGAGTGGTAGAGTGCCCACGGATAAGTAATTGACAGATAAACTCTACTATTATTCTCGGAAGATCGTAAATTGTGGTAGTCCCGGAATTTTTCTCTACAAGAACGACCATCTTTACTGTATTTTTCTTTAACTAGATTTTCTTCAACTACACTGAGGGAAATCAATATTTTTGGATTGAAACAAACGAATTCAATTCCATTTTTTTTTGGATTGAAACAAAAACATGAATTCAATTCCAAAAATTGCAAGAAAATCGGACAAAAAGTTGTTATTAAAATAGTAAATGTTCTATAGTTTCAAAAAAAATTTATAGACAACGTCTTAAATTTCTGAAATAATTCTGACCTTGAGACTGAAAAAATAAAACCGAATGTTCGAAATTGCATTTGAACTGTCAAAAGAGCAATTCAAAATGATTGCGCTTTTCGCATAACTTCAAAACAGTTTTCATTCAGCAGCGATCTGACATGAGGACACATAAAATGCCGACAGAAAGGCAAACCCGAAACTTCAAATAACTATTTCTAATTAGTATTAGCTTCAAAGTTGGAATTAGTTCAAAAATTTAAGACGGTCCGATATAGCTTTAACAAGTTTATCGGCCAACGTCAAATGTCACAAGGTCAACGTAATTTTGACCTTGAGACAGTGAATTGGGGTTGAATTTCATACTGATTTTACAAAATTGCATTTGAACTGTCAAAAGGGCAAACCAAAAAGATTGCGCTTTTTCGAAGATCAGTTTTTTAAACATAAAACGCCAACAAAAAGGCAAACGCGAAACTTCAAAGAACTATTTCTTATAAGTTTCACTTGAAGGTCAGAATAATTTCAAAAAGTTAAGACATCCGATAATTTTTTAAAAGCCATAACAAATATATCGGACAACGTTTTCAACTTTTGAAAAAAAACTCTGACCTTCAAACTTAAATTTATTTGAAATGGTTTTTGAATTTTCGCGTTTGCTTTTGTATCGGCGTTTTATGTGTTCTTTCTATTGAAAAAATGCTTGTCAGATTGCTGCTGAAGGTAAATTGTTTATAAATTAAATGTGTGAAGTTATATTAAAAGAAAACGGTTTGCTGATTTGAAATCTTTCGGTTTGCTGATTTGACAGTTCACACGCAATTTTGAAAATTCGGCTTGTATTTTCAACTCTATTTCACTGTCTCAAGGACAGAATTATTTCAGAAAATTAAGACGTTGTCCGATAAATTTATTAAATGCTATAAATTTGTTAAAAGCTATAAATCAGAAAATATTTATCAGACAGATTTTGTCTCAAGGTCGTCTAAAAAAATTGCGTGCAAATAGGAAATAATTCTTTCATTTCAGCTCGTAAAAACATGGAAAAAACAATTACATAGTTGCGAGTTGAAAAAAGAAACAGACAAATTGATCAAATTATCTACAGAGAGTTGAAAAACAACTGGAACTAACAGAATTAATTAAAAAGAGCAATTATCTATTTCGATCAACTTTTGCATGAAAAAGCTTGTCTTCCAGAATAAATATGACTCAAGGTCACCCTAAAATTAAAATTTCAATACAAAAAATACTCAAAATTGGCAGGTTGCACTTTAATCATTTCTGTCAGTTCCAATGTTTGCTACTAATGACATTTCAGCCAACTTATGCATGCCAAAGCTAATATTTCAGAAAGAAAGCATGTCTCAAGGCTACCAATATGCATGTTACCAAAATTACTCAAAAATTTGCATATAACTCTTTTTAATTAATTCTCTTTGTTCCTACTTTTTCCAATTGGTTATAATCAAAAAATTACCGTTTTTGACTGTTTAAGTTGCTCAAGATTACCGCTATTGCCAACTTAGCAGTAACTAAAGAATACTTATCTGAATTCAAGACTAAATTTTCATCGTGATATTTTATTATGGAACACAAAAAATTTCAAGGTTCCCGATCATCTCTCATTCATCTAAATTCTGCTTTTTAAACGCATTAGTAACCAATCCTAAAACTTTCCGGCCGGAAACTTGACATTGAGGCGATGCCGAGCTTCGCGCTACTTGCAATACAAAACAAAACAGCCACTAAATCGAAATGCCAAAATCAAAGATGTCAAAATCTATCAAAATGTATTTAAAAAATATCAAAAACTCAAACCAAGACAATCGAAGGTAAAAAGAGAATCAAAAAAATTACCAAGCTGTAAACAAGCAAAAATACCTAAGAAAAAACCCTTTAAGCCGAGAAAATTCAAAAAAAAGATCTTTCTGCTGATCAAACGACAAAAAATAAGGCCAATAAGCCGATAAAAATTTGGCCGAAACTTATCAAACCGAGAAAAAACGAAAAAACACAAATTAAAATTAAGAAAAGACTAAAAAACTAACAAAAAGTTTTGGAAGCCACATCCTCTTTAATACGCAAATACATTTTTAGGTCATTAAACTACAAAATATGATAACAATAAGCCGATATAAAAAGGCCGAAACTTACCAAACCGAGAAGAAAAAGGAAAAAACTTAAAAAATGAAAATTGAAAAAACTAAAAAAAAAAAATGAAACTGATAACAAAAATTGCTCCAGATGAATTCCCTTCATTGTACACATATACAATTTTTTCTGCTCATTAAAGGACACAATACAAGGCCAATAAGCCGAAGAAATATAGGCCGAATCTTATTCAACCAAGAAAGAAACGAAATAAATTTACAACCAACCTAAAAAGCAAACTTCGAATAGTAACGGATAACCAAAATGCGAACATGCTCAAAGTATGTCTGTTGCCGTTTCCAACAGAGATACGACTGCTCCAGCTCATAGTGCAACATGCTGAAAATGGAGATCTTGAAATTGGAGATCATCCATGTGAACAAAGTTGTTCACGGGAAAAACAGCCTAGTACCTGATTGTAACACCCTTGCTTATCACAAATGTAAGTAATTCCATCAAAAATGGCTATTGGATACTTGATTCTTATCAAAAAATAGAAACAAAACAAATAAAAACTCCTCGAAAAAATTCAATTATCAAACAATTAACGGAGCCAGAATTAAACAGCATTGAAAAAGAAGACCGATGGAAACTTGCTAAGCACAAATTTCTGCGTAATAAAAACAGCAACGCACTTTAGCTAACACGATATAATTCTCGCCAATATAAATCTAAACAAGACTGTTCGTATCAGGTCAGCGCCTTGAATCTTTCGACTGCTTTTTAGGCTGATAACATCAAAATTGACGAGTTAAACTTTGAGTCGCATATGAGATTAGTAACACCACACTTTTGTGAAGCTTGCCTCTCAAGCTTTCCTCAAGAACAAGCTTGCCTCTCAGTACAATTTGGTAGCCCGGGATAACTCACGCGTAAATAACTCGCGTTAAACTTTCAGAATCAAAGTATAAAACGAGCAAATTAGGAAGACTCGTTTCAGCTTGACTAGACAGTCAGTATTATAGTGAAGTGTGAGTACGAGAGGGCCTTCGTAAGTCCAATATCGAGCCCCCAAGTGAGCGAATTTTATTTATTTAGGAAAATGGTCGGGGAAAAAGCGGCTCATATTGGAAACTTTTTAAAAAGCAATTAAGCCCAATACTGGACCAAAAAAAAACAAAAAAAAATAGATCACACAGCTTTCAACTATTCTTTTGAAACCTTTTGCCCAATGCTGTCGATTAACTTTCTCGAAAAACAACCGGAAACCGAGCCATTACTTCATGACTTATAGCTATCGGTTTTCACAACAGTTGCCTAGTAAAGCACACATATTCAAGATGTAACATGCAAAGTGAAAACTATGTTAACGAACAAGGCGTTTGTTTTTTCTATAACATACCCCATAATGGCAAGCACATGAATTAGAAATATTTGAGAACAACTGTTTTTACAACTAAGATGTAAAAACAAACTTCCCCGACAACAAATGAAAATCTCTGTTAAGCAAGGCCGTATATGAGCAAATTAATGTTCACCTTTTTGTAAACCTTTTGAAACAAGCGGTAGACTTAATATCATCCATTAACCGGCTTGACGTTACTTTATAAAACAGCTGCTTTGTTCGTGTAGCGAAATATGAAATAATCCCAACAGTTTTTGAATGCTCTGGCCATAGAACAATATCGCTCTTTGAGTGTCCTAACAAAAATTTAAACTAGCCATGGAAAACTATAGAAGCTCGGGCAAAGTGGACTAAGACCAATTGAACAAGATGATGGAAGCCACACCTTTTGTGCTGCTTTTCAAAGACGAAAAATAGAGGTATTTTAATGGTAAAAGTATAATACTTTTATTCAAAAAAAAAAGATTAAAGTATTGCACTGGTATCTTGATGATCAACTAAGAACGAGACAAACAGACTCTCCCTCCTTAATTTTCTCCATCATGAAATAACTACCATATGGATTACACTGCCGAATTATAAGAGCACATAATTGTATGCTTCGGGTAGCCCGACAAAACTTGATCCGACAGATAAAAACTTTAATATAGTCCAAAATCTGACACCAACTTCAATAATACTGCAATGGACTTGAAGTAACCAAACCTCACGCTCGACCAGTTTATATAATGTTTCCTAACTCGAAAGTCTGTTGCCCTGCTGCATTATGCTCCTTGGTGGCAAAAAGAATCTATATTCAAATTTTCAAAATTATATATCTTTTTAAATTATAAATCAAATCAATAATAAGAAAACATAGTCAACCGATAGTCGGAAAAGAGTCAATAAACGCAAGTAAACAAAAAACTTCAAGGCAAAAAAATGATGGCCTTGTTAAAATTTTGAATTTCGATAATTATTTATTATTGACACTTTTTTGATAAAATTAACCCAATTTGAGAAAACTGGATCAATAGGTAAAATTTACATTTTGAAGGGAAGTTCAATAATTAAACTCCACTTTAGAAAGTAGAAATCGATCACGTTTATCGTAACCTTTACACTTTCGCTGTTGGATAGTGGAGTTTGCCTTCCTTTTGAGGCTTTTAGGGAAAAATTCATGAGAAAATTTGAGCCTGAACAAGTTTGAAGATTGTTCCTAAAAAAACGAAAAAAAAAATCATCGATACCTATGTAAGAGTCTAAACTACGTTCATCGACTCTTAATTAACCGAGAATGATTTGGATTGGACAGACAGAATAATTTGGATTGGATTTTCCGGCAACATAAATTTCTCGTTAGGTCAGAGCATCACCCGTTTTATTGCCGTTTTTTGATATGACCCAGATTTCTTCAAAAGTATTCAACAAATTGAAATAACTGCGTCCATATTATCAGTAATTCCCATCGTAACTTTAAAACTTTAAAGTTTTCTTGGCCGCTTTGTGTTTCTCCGCCTCCAGCTTCCATATTTTGGGCTGTCCAATCACAGGGAATTTGAAGTGGAGTTCGTGTGGATTCTCACACACCCACACGTAGGAAGAATCGCTGCATTCTATACCACTCTCTGAGGAGAAGGAGAACTGTTGCATGTATTGTTCTTGAGTGAGACAATCTATGACATCCACACAGCCTAGAATAGAGATAAATAGTATATGAACACACAGGCAGGAAAGCATGCAATGGCTTGTCAAATTGCAATTTTTTCACGAATTTTCATGACAATATTTACGAAGGAAAGGGCCAATAAAGAAGCTGTTCAGCTCTTTTTCAGAGAAGCGCTGTGCCCCTGGTTAAAATTACATGCATTTTCTGGTAAATTTTCTGGTCTGGGTCATATTGCCTCACTTTTAAGCAATGAGCACGGACCGGGGTTGGTCTCGAACCTCCGGCATTTCGATTTGAATGCAGATTCGATGTTGCAGCACTTCTAATACAAAAACATCTGACACTATCCGAAATGTACCCCCCCCCCTCCAAAATCGCGTTGTTCAAATATCACAGTAAAACTTGCAATGATTAATTAGCTAATTGACGCTTAAATTTGCTGACGCCTAATGTTGGACTATTAATAAGTCAGAAGAAATCGGTTTAACTTCGATGGACAAAATTTTTTTACAAGAGTGAAAGGAGAGGATCAAAATCGCTTTTATGCCGCTGCTTTGTTTTTAGCCGCGATAGCGTTGAGGGAATTATCAAATCACTAAACTCTTTCATTATGTGAACGAAACAGCTCCTCATGTTTCGAAACAAAACAATTTAATGCAAGGTGCTACGAAAATATAACAAGAGATGCCATATCATAAAAATGCTTTAGAATAGTTAAAAGTAAACAGCCCCACCCGATACGTCAGGGTGGTAACTCTTACCCAGTAGACATCCAGTGGGGTAGTCAACGGGGAAAGTTATCTGGTCATCATTCCTCAGTATCTTATACGTCTGTTCCAGTTGATCAATCTCTTCACGTGGACATGCTTTGGCAGTAGATGCAATCCACAGTCTGCCTCTGTGTGTAGTGTACCAGTCTCTTCCTTCGAATCTCTTGATTCCGGCTACTAACAGAGACGCCCACGGCTGGTGCATTGACAGACACAGTCCTAAAAGTCATCAGTTCTTTTACACAGTTAAGAGATGTTGTCTAGATTGCTAGACAATCGTACACGCATTGAAGGAAAGCTAATTTAAATACAAAATTTCACGCACAGGGGCGAAGCAGAGCTTCGCAAACTTGGAAAGCATTACAAACAGCATGGCAAACTATCCGACAGAAATCAGCAGAAAAAATTACCCAAAAAATGACAATAAAATCTACCAAAACATGCATATCATGATTTTGTCTCGAATGAAAACTACTTGAAAAGAAACATGTCGAAAAGGACAACTTACGGCCTTAACAGATCCTTAAAACAAAGTTTGCAAAACGGTAACCAAGAGGACAATGATGGGTTAGACACCGCTGCGCCGAAATGAGGCACTAAGATAATGCAAAATGAGACCACTAAGACGATATAACACACTCCAACGCCTTTTAAGCCGAATAAACATGTTTAAAAAATTATACAAAAAAAACAGAGTAAGTATTGCAGAAACAGATTTCGACACAGATGAAACTTCGCAAAAACAAAAGAAAAACGTCAAAAAGTAGCTCTAAAAGGGTCAAAAATTGAAAAAATGTATAAAAACGATAAAAACTAATAAAAAATCTGTTATGCCCCGGAATCGAACGCCTATCCTGGAGAGTTACAGTCAGTCGTTCTGGCATCTGCGCTTAAAAATCTCAAAGCATTAGCCACTTATAAACCAGATACAAAGATACAATGTTATGCAGCAAAATTAAATCATGTTATTGCAGCAAAGGGCCACCAATTAAATGAGCAGTTTTATTTTCGCCTTGGGTTGGAAAAGGTCGATCTAGTAATATGACAGTTCGCTAAGCTTGTGTAAATAGAACGAATAACTAAAATGGAAGCACGCTCAAAAAATCTACAGAACTAATCTTCCAACAGAGGCCTCCAGCAAATGTGTCCTATGAACAAAGTTGTTCTCGAAAACAGTCTTTTAGCCGATTGCAAAACACTTGGTATCGCTAGCGTAATAATGCTAATGATCAAAAAATCTTTTCATGGAACTATGGATGCATTGATCCGAAAATTGGGCTTGTGTTCTAAGTTAGCTGCCCAAGTGCTTCCTTATGTAGCCATGGAACGTTTTTGACTCACGGGGCAGCTCGGTTTTTGCTATCATCTTTTTAACTCGGGCGAAAAAACTACTTTTGACTAAATATAACAGAGGCGAAGTATCGCTTTGCACCACTTGCGATACATTACAAGAAAGCCGCTAGATGAAAAAAAAAACAGATGCTGAAAAAACTAGATCTATCAAAGTGAAAAAAAAAACTAGTTTTGAAACCTAGGCCAAAGTAAAAAATTTGAGATTAGAAGCGAAAACTTACAAAGCTGAGAGAGAACTTACAAAACGCTCACAAAGCAATAAACAGCTGAGCAGGAACGCTTCAAAATAATTTAAAAAAAACTCAAAAACTAATAAAAATCCTCTCCCCTTAAAACACACGCACAAAAACTTTTATGATCATCAAATGACGCAAAATGAGGCCAGTAGCCGATCTAAAGTCAGTCGAACCTATTCAGCCGAAAAAAAAGAAACAGTAACAAATCGAATTGGTCCAACATGGATGGATTTTTAAAATGCTAACATGCTCAAAATAAGTATGTCGAAGTATTTCCAACGAAGATGAGCAGATTATCCCGGTTCCGTAGGAAAAACGACTTTCAGCTGCAGACCCATTTCCGACCACAATCGGAAGCAAGATCCATCCACAATTCTCCTCAAAAACAACAACGGGTTCTTAACCCGGAGACAGTAAGACCACGCCACATTCTCTCCTATATCGCCAAACCACTGGACTCTAAACGGCGGCCCTGCTAATGATGCTAGCCTGAGAAGGCATTAAAACAAACCCACGGCCTGGATCTCAACTCTGTACCGTGCCACCAAACGTTCTATTACAACCAAAACAGTGTCTTGTGCCACTACGGACGTAGGGTCCATCTTAAGCGTACTGAATTCAAAAGAACCCAAGAGTGGAATGAAAAGTTTTATTTCGACGAATGTGACTAGTGCCGATCAACTGCTATACTTAACGCAACCTCAGATCCGCAAGTGTCAACTTTAAGTGAAACTACTGGCTTCAAACATTTCCATTTTCAAGCAAATGCCTTCAAAAAACGATAGTATCATACAAAGCATGGATACAAACAACATCAAAGTAAAGCAATTCAGGAGACGTTTCTTAGCTCAATTCAAAAAGTTTCAGCCGTGCACCATGTAAAAGCCAATCGGCCGCCGACACAGTGTGGCAAAGGATGAGGAGTTGCCTTCATCATTGATGAAGCCGTTAAGCATCATCAACTAAAACTTATTAACAACGACAAACAATTCGAACTAATAGGAATACAAACAAAAATGAGAAAACACAAAAGCTCATTAAAATCTACATACACTCACAATCTAGCTGCAAATCCGGCTACAGTGCCTTAAGGGGCAAAAAGTAGCTAATGAAAACGATGATTTCGACCTCAATGTGTTGAAAGATATTGAATCAAACCGCATCACAGATATGTGCTGAAACTTCCCCGATATCAATCTTTATCTCACCGATGCTAGCATTTAGCTCTACCTGGAATACATAGCTTTGTCTGGGCTCTGATCATCAACAAACTACAATCACCCTAACATAGTTATAGAAATGATAGATTATCCCAAGCAAAAATTCAAAAAAGTTCCGCAAAGCCGATTGGGCGAAGTTCAGAAAGGAAGCTGAGAAAGTGTTCTCGAAAGCCAAAAAACCAGCTGTCTTTTCAGATATGACAGTATAGATGGAAAAATCATCAAAGCTGCCTCACCAAATCATCATCACAGCTGCTTCTCCCACATCTACCATCTGAAGTCCTAAAAATTATGAAACAAGATAATCTTCAAAAGGAACATCTATGTCAGCCCAACAGTTGTACTATCATTAAAACAATCGCCACCTTCATCCAAAACGAAGAAAAAGAAAAACGGATTTTTTAAAAAAAAGTCTGACCATAAAGCCAGCTCAATTGAGCTATGGCCTATCATTAAATCTGTCCAAAAACACCCATAACAAATCATTTCCAAGGACACCCCATACTACGAGGCGAAGCTATGCCACAATCGTTTCAGCGAGCTGTTTACCCCACACGCAAAAAATCGTGACAAAACAAAAAGAACATTTATTCGCTATGTAAAGAAATTTGAACTTAGCAAAATTACCATCTCACCGCTAATGGTAAAGGAAACTACAAAGAGTAACACCCTCCCTAGGCACTGACAAAATTGCCCATATTCAATTACACTATATTGGACCAAATGACCTGAAATAAATGTCACAAATCAAAATCCTCTTTCAACAGCCAAAATACCATAAAATTGGAAAAACCACGCATAATTCTACTCCCCAAACCAGGTAACGATCTAAAGAAATCGAAATGCATCTGACCAATTGCACTACTATCGCCAATCGTCAAACACGTGGAAAGAATTTTTTAAGCTGAGCTACATTTGAACAAACAATTAACAGACCCCCATCACGGTTTTCCAAAAGCTAGGTCCACTGTTACTGCACTTTATTGTATCAACCATCATAGACCAAAAGGAAGATCAAAAGAACCATGCCAAAGTCCGTATAGTTGCACTGAATACAAAAACCACCTTTGACTCAGCTAATTATGAACGAGGTGAAGCAAAAACTGACATGAGAAAAGCTGCACAAGATGTACCATAAGTGTTGCTTTTTCGCCAATAATCTTCTACCTTTACATGAGCTTCATGCCTAAGTCATGAGAAAAAGTCAAACCAGTCACTCAATCTGATGACATAACAATTCTAACTTCTACTCTACATCAAATTGAGTTTTTTTTTACCTAACTCAATTAAACGAATGGCTGAAAAACAGGCACTTAAAACTAGCCCTTGAAAAATAAATCCAGGGCAAGTCTTTCTTGTTCTTGGTCCGCCGAAGTAAATTACGAAACCAAGGTCGATTTTGCAGGGTAACGGGAAGAAACATTAAAAACCCAAAAAACCTGTGTTAACTACGATAACATGTTCCCAAAGTGTTTACGCTCCCAAGTGTTTATTTTTGGCATACTTGCATTTTTAGAGAATGTTATTTCTGACTTGAACTTATGCGCAAATATTGAATGCATTAGCTCCAAACAGCAGATAGATACTGAAAAGAACACTGAAAACCAAATACGAGAAAAAAATTGCCATCCTCAAACATCTGCATACTAAAACTCAGATTTTATTGAGCTACATCACAGTAAAATTTTGGTTATGACCAATCCTGTAGTGAAATTCAAAGCATAAAAGCCTCACGTTGAGCTAGGTGCACGCTTGCACAGCTCCACTCCCGACATTCGTCCATTCTTAGCTACCTCAAGATTGACTCAAAAAAGACTATTATGTACATTGTTTGCAATCTAAGGCCGCATGACACGCACCACTTATTCAACTGCCCAGGCAGACCGACAAATCTCAATATTCTTAGTCTATCGACTGACTTGAACCTCTTCTTGTCTATCGACTGACTTGAACCTCTAATTACCTGAACCTCTTCAGCTCATATAGCACGAAAGAGCGGGAGCATCGAGTCGAGCGTTTAAAGGACGTTAAAGTAACCCACGCTAGTGGCATGCCCTACTAATGCTGTCGATTTCCAATAACACTGGACCAGCAACGAGTCCCAACCACTGTTAAACGAAACAAACAAACACAAGGTCATCATGAATCAACGAGGCTACAGCAGCAACAACAACCCCCACATGGTAGACACCTCTCCGTGGTGTGGGGGATCAACGTCTTCGGACGGCGAAGTCTACCGGCTACGAGCCCTCCATGCCCAACTAGGAGCTTCATGCGAGGTGCAGCTGGCGTCAAACACTGCCGACATAGAAACACGCTTCAACGTTGTCCCTCATGCGCAGCTATTCAAAAGGCTTAATAACAGTTGGGCCCAAGAGCTCTGGATTGGACATAGAGTGGACTCGCTTAACTAACTAAGCAGCAACAACAGCAGCAGGATATGAGCCCGATGAACAAAAATATTTACGGGAAAAAAGTCAACCAATTGCAACACACTGGCTAAAATACATGTGGACAAATCAAACTTATGATTGGGAGAAGCATTAGTGAATCATCTGATTTATATTTCAAAAAATATTCGGCATTTGTTTTCGTTTAAAAACATAAAATCACCGTAAAGCACTCCAATTTCAAACAACTTTCAAAATTGGTAGTTTTTTAACACAGAGACAAAGCTTCATTTCATAAATTCATAAACACAAGCAAAAAAAATGGCAAAAAAAGCTGTAACCAAAGTTTTTGCCATTTGCTATTAATTTATGAGATCCATCTTCGTCCAACCAAACCTAGAAGCTTTCTAAAGGCGCCTTTCGCGTCAATATATACTTATTTTGAAGGTGAGCGCGTGCCGAAAAAAAAGCCATTTTTGAACAAAAGTTTTCCAAAATGTGCCCAAAAACAGCACGTTTTTTCATTAAAGTTGCCTGGGACGCAAGAACCTTTTGTCAAAATAGCGTCTTTATAAAGTTCTGGGAGCGCTGGAAAAACTATTTTGGTCGAAGTAAAAAAAAGGTAAACAATATTATTGGAAAAAAAAATACTCGAGAAAAACCCTAATCTGCCCCTGATTATAGCTCAATTGCTGTTTTTTTCATAGAAAAATCATATAAGAAGAAACACAAAGAATCAACTAACGGTCCGGAAAACCAGACTAGGAGCGAATTGTCTTATTAACAGCGCCATGAGAACGTTATGAACAATAAGTACAAGAGTATAAGCAGCAATAGACCACTGAGGCCTTTATTAACAACGCCATGAAAACATTATGAACTATACGTACAAGCCGCAATAGACCACTGAGGCTATTAACTGAGAAACCTTTAAAATAAGCGATGATTTATCGTTGACTAGCGCATGACTCGCATCTACGGTGCTTCAAATAGATCGTTGAACGTTAAAAGAGCTTACTAAAACAGCTTATGTACTAAAATACTTATTGCAACCGTGAAGATGAACTGGCCTCATGTATCAGGCGTTTCTACTTCATGAAAAACTCCAGATCTGGGAAAAGGATTTGAGCAGTCAAATTTTAGAGGGCAGATTTGCAACGCCGAATGTGCAACACATCTCGGAAAAAATTTACGCAGTCACATTTGGAGGGAGGAACTTCAACCCCTGAGTGAATCCTGACTGCATCCCACCATAGGGTTGAGAATTTGGAGTTTCATTAAATGTTTTTTAAATCGAAGTTTTTGGAAAAACAATTAATTCAAAAAATCATAAAAAGCGCCAAACTAGAAAACCAAGATGATTTGAGCAGTCAAACGGGAGACCAGATTTGCAATCCCTGAATGTACCCTGATAGCACCCCAGTATAGGCTTGCGAAATTCAAGTTCGATTAGTTTTTTATATGTAAATTTTTTGAAAAAAGAAATGAAAAAATCATTAAAAAACGACATTTCTCGAAAAGCAAAAGGATTTGAGCATTCATACTTGGACGAATTCATACAAATTACATTCGAACCAGTCCTGGTCAGAATCAAACCAAAAACCTTTACTGTCCCAGGCGTATTCGTTACCACCCGGCTAAGCCTGCAAGAGACTACAAACTTTGAATTCAATATCAACCAAGGTACCACCAGCTCAAGGAGTCTTATGAATCATAGACAAAGTTGTTTACGGGAAAAAATTCTAGTAGCCAATAGCAATACCCTTGCTATCGCAAGGGTAAGGAGCAGAAATAACATAAAAGTGGCTTCGAGTAAAGATATGCCAAACAAAAGAATTTTTCAACTATTTTTATATGTAAAATAGGTTTTCCAGTGGCAGTAAAACTTAATAAAATGGTTTTTTAAAAATTATTCTTTGTTTAGTATGTGTTCATTTTGAGCCACCTTACCAGTAGTTCCAACTGTTTGAATTTAATTGTCTCGGGAAATTGCGAGTTATGAAGTGAGAATGTAAATCATTAGGATCAAAAATTGTCTCCCCAAACTTCCCCCAGTCTTTTAAGTTGTTTTTTTTTCCAGGTCAGATTGAAATTTGAGAAACTATCTGGCTAAAAAAATTACATAAGAAATATGAGCTCTCTTGTAATGAGCACTCTAGGAAATATGAGCTCTTTAGGAAATATGAGCTCAATAAGATCAAAAATTATCCCCCCAAATTTCACCCAGTCTTAATTTCCGTTTTTTTTTTAAATCTGATAGAAATTTGAAAAACAATTCGTTTTGAGTCTATATAGTGTTTTGGGAGCACTCAAAAGATCATATTGGTAAAAAAAAAACATTCGACAAAATTTGGGAAGCAATTTGTGAAAAATTACAAGAGAGCAAACATGAGCTCTCTTGAATTAAGCTCTGTAGAAAATATGAGTTCTCTAGGATCAAAAATTGTCCCCCCTAACATCCCCCAGTCCTATTTTTAGTTTTCCTTCAGATCTGACTGAAATTTGAGAAACGATTTGTGAAAAAATACAAGAAAGGAAATTTGATCTCTCAACAGAGTTCATTATGCGGAGTTGGCCTCACACTGGTGGTCAGAATATATTTATATATCGGAAGACCCACTCGACCTAAGATAACTGTGCCGTCAGACTCGATCCAAAAGTTTCGAATGTTTTTAGTAATTATCGAGAGGCAGATTGTTCTTATTTTTTCAGAACTGATTGTGAACAAACTGAAAATTCATTGCTAAATCAGCGCTAAAATTCGCTATTGCGAAAAAAAAATTGAAATTTTCCATCGCTAATCTGCAATAAGAACTCAACTCGGGATTCTTTACCTGAAAATAAACTGAAAACAATGTCTGCGTGGTTTGTTATTCTACAAATGAATCAAAATATTTGATTTTTGTATGGAGAAAAATACCCTGCGTGCGCATGATATGACATAAGCAATACTTGAATTTGTTCGATTAGTAATTAAAAAAGGGGCAAAAACATATGTTTCCTTTGCAGTTCCTATCAGATGCTTCGAATTAAACAAAGTTAATTGACACTTTAATTTATTTTTACTTTGAATTTAGGTCCCTAAAAAATTGATTGAGCTATCAGGTTGAAGACTGCAAAGAGGTACCAAGTATCAATTTTCCAGTATTTACTGAATTTAAATGAAAAAAAAATGCATGAAAAAGCATTGACTCTCGGATAGAAACTCCAGGATACTAACATAAAATCAATGCCTAAATATTTTCAATAAGGGTGACCTATAAATTGCAGTGGGGTTAAGCAATCCAAAATTCATCGTGGGGCGAAAGCACTGAAAAAATATTCGTTAACGCATTAAAGCTATTCGAAAATTCCCAGATAAAATGATTTGGGGCAAAGCGAGCAGTCGTCTTTGGTAAACAAAGAAAAAGTACTCGCCTTGATCTGTCATTTCTTGCAAGAAGCTATCCTGAAGTTTCAGGCCTTTGGACAGATTGTCTTTCGCCGCTTGTAGATAGTTTTGTTTCAAAGTGTCATCACTGAATTCCGTCTGCACAAATGTTGGCGCTTGGATGCATCCTCTGGAATCAACTATTGGAAATGAGCTAGCTGACAGTAACTGAGATTCACGAGCTTCAAATGATTTTTTGGCAATTTTCGATGCCTCGTCTTCCATTTTTGCACGCTCGTAAACAGATAGGTTGTTCACAGATTCCAAAACTTTCTTTCCCATGACATCTATGGTAACGGTACGCTTCCTCTCGTCTATCTTTTTCTGTTCACGAAGCCTCTTTTCCTGTTCTTGTAACCGAATTCTTTCTTCAGGCGACTGCCATAAATCTGCCCCAAAATAATCGCTTTCATCGTCGATTACTTGTGTTCGTTTTGAAGATGTTCGGTCATAATTCAGCAATCTGTTTTTAAAATCCACTGCTTTGCTTTCTTGACTGAGAGATTTCTCATCTTCCTGGTCTAATCTCGTATCTCGAAGAGAAGCTGTAATGGATTGCAATGTTTCGGACTGTTTTGGATTTACACCGATCCTTGAATCTTTTCTGAAACCACCAATTGGCGGTCCAGTTTCTGGCAACTCGGGACTAACTGGGTCAAAATCTTGGCTTTGCAGATAGGTGTTATGAACGCGCATTATTTTTTCGTATATCTTTTTGCCTTTTTGTGAAACTCGTTTCATCACTTCCATTTCTTCTCTGGTTGCCACAAAGTCTCCACAAAACAAACAAGGACCCGCCCGTTCTTGCTCGCAAACAATTCTCCCACAAGAAAGACAGTTTCTGATTAACTTGTGCCTCGTTGCTTGGCAGTCGCATTCGTGTCGTCCAGGGAGCAAAATAACACTTTGTTTCCCACTTGGATCAAAAAGAGGCACATATTTAGGTCCTTTGTTCGGTTCTTTTTGAACGAGCTCATCTTCAGCTCGATTAGAATCAATTTGTCTCGCATCTTGTTGGCTGAAACAAAGGCGGTTTCAGATATTTATTCAATAAATCTTTTAAAAAATAAAATCAACGTCCTAACTTCCTTTTATTTCTCGTACTCTTTTTGTTTTTCTGTTTATCAAAAGTTTCCTCGACTATCTGAGGTTTTTGATATAATCGATAAGACTCAACACTGAGTCCAGCGTCTTGCTGCTTTTGACGGTGAGAAAAATTAATCTTTTTCACAAGTTCGTCCATAAATGATCGCTTTTCGGCATTCAGAGGCGCAAGAATACCATTTAAAAAGTCCCTCAGCTCTTCTTCATCGGTTATTGAGAGAATATAGTTCACGACATCATTACTGGTAGCATATCCCGTAAATTTCTCCAGCGAATCCAAGCACCACTTATGCGTTTCGCTAGCAGGAGCAGGAGCCATAAAAGATCTAATAATATTTGTTCGAGTATATTGTGGCAACCCATGGAAAAAATAAAAGATCTAATAATATTTGTTCGAATATATTGTGGCAACCCATGGAAAAAGATACTTTCCTTTCTTTTTATTCAGTACCTTATAAGCTACAAATTCATCGCTTTCGCAGAAGCTGATGACAGATATGCTAGTTAAGACAAGAAGTAACAGCATATCGTTTTGTAGAACAATTTTAGTTATAGAGAGTATGGATGGATGCAGAACCAGGACACTGACCCAATCAATATCAGAACAGGACTGCTCCAGCAATGCCGAAAATCTGGAGGTGTGGATCATGCTCGAGACCGATAGGCAACGAGTACAGTATCCGATGTTATGATTGTGGAAACTGGTTTCACAGAATTTGCGCGAAAATGACTATAAAAGAAATCAAGAAATGGTCTAACAGTAAATGGCACTGTGGATGCGATAACCCAGTGGATGCAACAACGAGTGAAGGACTTGATGGGACAGGGAATCGGCCAGATGTGGAACGATGTGAAGGTATTGTGGACTCCCGCTGTCAATTACTCGTCAATCCGAGTGGCGGCGAAAGCGGAAGATCGGGCCTCTCACGAGCAATGGCGGAGATGCAGATATCCGACGAGCCACCAAATATGGATGACGAACATGACCATTTCGCGACGATTGCACCACCAACACAGAACCTGGCAGCAGACACATGTGAGGAACTCCCTTCATTTGTAGAAAACAGTGCAGCGATTGAAGGTCAATGGGGTAAAATATCAACAAGTACTTTTGCGAGCAAGGTCAACGAGTACTACGATATTGCCATACACTGGAAGAGAAATGCCTTCGATATTCCACGTGGAAATGCCGTCAAAGTTCTCATTGAGGAACTCACAAAACTGCTTGATATGTTCAATGAAAAAATTTGATGCAAGGTTTTTGAATAAAAGCTTTCCATTTGCTGACAGCTTTCGCCTTGCAGAAACCTTCCAAAGAATCTAAAGCGAAAGATCATTTGGAGTATTGTGCCATTCTGCCAGATAGGCACAGTGCAACCTTCCGGCGACACGAAAGAAAACGAATAAAGGCCTTAGTAACGAAAAAGTATTGCGAAGAAGGGAAGGAATATTCTACAATTTTTATTTTTAAAATTTCGATCGAAGAGTGAATATTTCTGAGAAATACAAAAAGACGGCCATTTTGACGGAAAAACGACGAAAAAACAGAACAACGACAAATATTGTGGAAAACGGTCGCACAAGAGACGAGAAATACGAAGCCTCTTATCGTGGCAATAACACACGATAAAACTCTTAGCAGTGGAAATTGGTGGAGAAGGAAGCTTAGGTGAGGAAGAAATATTCCACGGAACCCTCCCGTGCCACAAATTGGAAGATATAAGAACGTTATCTCAGGAAGATTACGGGAGCGGAGGCTTGGTCCCCCAGAGACAGTTTTATGTGAAGGGACTATATAAGACTGACTTTGTAGCTACTTGGATGTCGTAAAACTCTGAATTAACACCGGTATTATTTGATATTTTAGAATATGAGTAGCTAGAAAGAGGAAAGGGTCAATCCATCTCCAATGGATTTAATATAGAACTGTCACACAAAAACATATTAAAATAGGTTGTTCGAGCCGTGTTTTTAATGGCAATCACGTAGTCTGAGGATCCGAGACTCAGCTATGTGGTTGTGTTCGCATGTAAACGAAAGCTGATCAAAAGTCGTTTGACTGATGGCCTAAAAATAGTAACTTTTTACTTAGCCCTAAACAGACCAGAAAATCAACTGGCAAGGTCGAGACGGTGAAAAACGAGTAGGATTAAGGTAACTGACGCCTGCCAGTCGTTATTAGGTACTTTTTCTACGCTCCGTCGCTGTGTAGTATTTGGGCGAATGTTACATAGACGTTTTTATGGCGCTCCTGGGTGGGCCTGTCAAAGCATAAGACCATCATGATCAGCAAGCGTTTCAGCGACGAACCCTCCGCTCCGGGCGTATGCCCGAGTTAGAGGCCTTAATGACCGTTATTGTACTAGGGGGAAGGTGCGTACCCTCCGTCTAGTACTATTTAGCATTTTAACTTAGTTAACACCGAAAATTCCGGGGGCCGGAGGGTTAGGTGGGAAATCTAGAGCCCGCTTGTCCCGAGGTCCCAGGACCAAAAACAATTAAAGAGAAAGCGTGTAACAGTCGCCTACTTTAGTCACATATGAGGCTTAAGAAAAATAGGCCCTATAACCATTGGCTCAAGAGTCAGGGACACTATCTCTTGTGTTTTTCCGCCTCAAGAACGGTCGGAGCCAATTCGGTTCGCTTGCGACATGAGACTGGAACCCATTACAGCTTAAAGGCCACTACCAAAATACCCCCCCCACTCTAGAAATAAAAACGTCCCCATACTTAGGTCTCGGGATACCCAAAATACATGAACGCCGTTAAAAACCGGGTCGGAACAATCCGCTTAGTTACTTTTTATTGGACAGTGGAACTTTGATCCATTTCAGATGGATCAACCTAAAACTCGCCTTATCTCAACATAACTATCATAAAATACACTCGAGAAATTTAAATTGGAACTTACATATCGACGCACTTGAGTATGAGGAGTAAGTTATAACTGAGCAGCTTGAGAATTAACTAATATAACTAAATAAGTTTTAAGGCCAATTAGTTTCAATAACGAAAGTAAGTTCTGTCTCAAGAATTGAAGTTTTCGTTTGGACCATTAGGACACTCGAGTAGTCCTCTATTCCGTTGAAGGTCCACACTATTCCATTCGAATAGTGATCCCTCCTCAAGTCAATGTTGTTTTCTCCTGTTTTCGGGATAAGACAGCTCTACTCTCTTGATATTTCGTATCGAGAAATTGCGAACAGCAATTTCCTACCTTTTTCTTGAGTAGTTTCCCGCAATTGTTAATTCGGGTGTTCTGATTTTTGACTTTTTCATTTTCAGTTGGTTCGAGAAAATTGAGCATGACATGCTCAATTCGAATTTTGCAAAATTAAAATTTCACTCCAAAATTGCGTATTTCTCAAGGTCAAACCCCCAGACATGACCGACTGGCACATACTCCCCGGACTCGAGATCGATGTCCTCATCGTGTGTTGTCATCTGCCAATAAGTCCCAGAGAACCGAGTGTTGCTCAAGATACAGTGCCAGTGGTCATTTACAGAAGTTTGCATCGGACTTAAGTTTATCTACCTTGCAAAATTCACGACCATATAAAATTTTCACACTATCGCTAAACAGCAATCAAAATCTGCACACACCTGCACCCATGAATCCCCGCTTTTTAAGCTGGTAATTTTTAAAATTTCTTTTGTCCTATTTCAGTCAGAGAATTGTCATGCATCAATTTGATTTATATATTAGATCTATCATATTAATAACAATATCTTATTAGTCTAAAATTTCTTTTCCGTGAACCCAGATTTTATCCAAGTTCACGCTCAAGCCCCCTCCCTCTCAAGACTCAAGACTCTAGAATTTCCTTTCGAGCCACTGGCTCACCTCATGTTCTTCGCCTTCGAGGTACCTGATACCGGTGTTCTTGGCACTGTAATTTGTTCCAATAGTGCCTCTTCGTCATCGGAGCTAATCACAATTTCCTCCCAGGCCTTCAGCTGTTCATAGGCTCGCATCCACTCTCTCTGCTCTTGCAACCTTTTCAATTGACTTGGTAGGCCTTTCACCTTCGACTCCCGGTTCAAGCAGAAGGAGTTATGAAGACTCAAGCTCACATTCCTCGCCAGGTCCTCCTCCAGTATCGTTTCCCTCGCTCTAGAATTGTCTCTGGATATTCTGCCTACTCTCTTCCACCCCGCCCTGATTGCGTTTCGATGGGTTAGCAGAGGTCTCTTAAAGGCATCTGGCCCTATTTCAGCTTGGAATTGTCGATATTCCTTCTGATGTTTCCTCATGTGGTTCTTTGTCACTGCATACAACCAGGATGTTAACGTCGCACGAAACCAAGGAAAGAATCTCAGGCGGCTCCATATGTGTCTGACTTGCACTGGTATGGCGAATACCTTGCATGCAGTCTCGAACAACTCCAGTCTCCTGCTGTAATCTATCGCATAAATCGATTCAGCTGTTGGCGCTCTCGATTCTCTGTACTTCGCTATATTCTCCTCAATCCATCTCAGAGCCAGCATCGTGCTTACCACTAAGATGGTCACCTTTTGTCGATACTCCGGTAGTCCTAGCGACTTAATTTCTTCTACGTCCCAGATCAGACAGAGATTGGCGTGGTCCGGGTACCACACTGTCTGCGCCAGACAGTGGCATGGACAATCCCCATGCGTGAGGTCGATGCTTCTAAGGTTGCGTTCTCCCGAAGCTTCTAGGAGAGGCTCAAGTTCCATCATTTTCTCATGCACCACGTCGACTTCTTCCGAGCTTGAGGCACCTACTGCGGGTTTCCCCACCACGTTCTGCTTCCCATGATCACTTGCATTTTCGCTCTCCAAGCCTAGAAGTTCTTCACCCCAGATTTCACTCAAGTCATCTCTTTGCTCCTTTGGTACTGCTCCTCGGATCTTCCTCAATAGCTTGTGTGAGTGGTGTGACATCCGAGCTAGTCTCACGCACTTGGGCACTGAGAAGGCTTTGTCTATCATCACCCTCTGGCTGGACACCTCCACCATCGCCATGTGTAGTGGATAGTGGCTCCCACATAGGTTAGCCAACACTGATCCCACTAAGGATTTTGCATTTAGAGGCAATCCATAGGCTTCGCTCATGGGAAATCCCATCTCTGCCTCGAGTCCGATCTTCCAACTCTTGATGTGCTTCTGGTTCACTTGTAGCACTCCGGGCCATGATTCCACGCTTAACGCGGTCACCAGGTGATGTTCTGACTCTAGCCTCTCCAGTGACTGGAGACTGCACATTCTCGAGAAGAATCCCAAGGCTGTCGCTAGGTTCACGGTGGTCCTCGCGTAACATTCAGCCACTATCTGTACCTCACTCTTCTCCCTTTCAGTGATATCTTCAAACCAGGTAGTGAGGTCCTCTTTCT